CCTAACGTACTCCTAACAGTGGTTGGGGGGGGGGGGTCGGAAGGCCATATTTGTGTATAACATGATCAGTTACACAGAAATTGCGGCCACACCTGAAATAAGTAAAAAGACATCTCTAGTGGAAGGTTACCCAGCGGTATTTTACTCCTTTCTTCTGGAATAGTATTTTTACTATAGCGGTGCTAAAAAATTCCGTAGGACGCATTCCTCATTCCACATGGACAGGAGAACATCATGGAATGCCTTGCATACTTTAGCACCAAGGTATTTGTACAGTTTAGCAGGAATTCTGTCTTTTCTTAAGGCTTTTCTACAGTACATTTACGTGATGGATGTTCCAAGGAAAATCATGTCTTACTTGCTAGTAGATTGGGTAATAATTTCTCTAACCTCATGGCTGTATCAACCTTTTCTTCGCAGGGTGGAAGAAAGACTATGCAGACTATACTATGGTCAGGATGGTCCTTGTGGGATTTGTTGTAGGGTTCTTTGGTCTACTATAGATGGGTGTTTCTGAACTATTTCTTCCATCTTTCTATGATGATACTAGTAGTCGGACAATCTGCTGACGTCAGAGGGTCTTTTTTTTACTTCTGGTGGGTCTATAGAAAGTCTTAACAACATTTTGGCGTAACTTTTGTTTGTTTCTTCATGATGTTTTACTTCTTTCTTCACAATGGGTCTCCGTTTGTAAATGCTCCTAAGATCCTAATTCAGGACGTTGTGAGACCCGATAGTCTTCAGAAGATAACCCACCTGTAAGGTATAGAAAGGCTAGGAGAAGGGAAACTGTGAGGAGGGATGACAGTAGGGTGTACAAGATTTTACCGCCACTCTTGAGGGATTGCGCCTTTTTTTCTGTCCAGTGGGTCAACACAGGTGGCTGACTTAGCGTTTTAGTAAAGATTTTTCGGGGGGGGTATGACTTCATACGTCGGTGAAGGTTAGACATTTAGGTAATAAGATATATCAAGCAACTGTTATGATTTTGGAAACGGTGTGACGTTTCATGAAGCATCCACTACCTTCAATCAGTGACACGGCAAAATTCTCAAAAGTACAGGTCTACAAATGAGAACTATTGATTGATTGATTAAGCAATAAATTGATTTGCAAAAGAAGCTAAGACATGTATTTATATTCCCGATATAAATATTATATATATATATAAATAATTTATATAAATATATAAGATTATTTATATGTCACAGACGAAAGGTAGCGGATGCTTCACATCGTAAATGATGGTCACAAATATACAGTTGATTGGTTAATTGTTTTTGGTGTAACTTGGTGACTTTTCCCAGAATATTGTTGGCAACAATTCTCTATCATTGGATTAAGATAATAATTTTTTGTGTTGCCATGGCAACGGGTTTCTGACAGGCATTTTTTGCTAAATTTAGTACTTTTTGTTTCAACAATAGAATTTTATGGGTTTTATGTCAAGTTATTCATGGTTTCTAATATTAATAACACCCCATATAATTTTATGTAAATTTTACTATTAAATATGCATAATTTATGCTAATTTGATGACGTCATTGGCCAAAATCCAAGATGGCGGACCATATCATTAGAACAGGTATATACAGGTTATTTTCATTAAAATTTCATCAATACTTCCATTTCTTTTTCCAAAAAAGGTTTAAATGAAGGTCTTTAGTATGTTTACAATGTATTATAGGTTTTATCATGAAAAAAAAACTGTTTTTGAAAGTTCAATATTAATAATCCGAGATGGCGGATATCTTAAATATGCATGACGTCATGTTATGACGTCACCGGTGTTGCTATGGGCAACATAAGACTTAGTACACCATAATATTCTGTCATAAACACTTTTGGTACAGTTATGTTGAATACCATTGAGTTTTCAGGGAAAAACCTATTTAGACGGTTTGGGGCAATAAAATCACATTAATGACGTGATAATGACGTCATATTACATCATAACGACATAAAAAATTGTAGATATGATAAATTTGCACTAGTACACCATTCTCTGAAAATTTGGTGGTCATACGACATACCGTTCGCGAGTTCTTAGGGGGGGCAAACGAGCCCCCCCCCGGTCCCCCCATGTCAAAAAAAAGCCCGGTCTAGGTAGGGTTAAGCTTGGATTGGGGAAGGCTGAGATCCATTCACAGGCCGTACCCCTTCCCCACCGCATACCCCTTCCCTGCTGTTTCTGGGAATGCATTGATTGCTGCCTCGGTTGTTATAACTTAATCCGATGGGGCATGGGGACTTAATGTTAGCCGCATGCATCCATCGTCCGCGATAGTAGTGTCCCGAACCATGCCTGAGCAGGAACAAAACAAAACAAAGCTTGCGTGCAGCTCAACCTACCATCACTTAAGACCCGCCGTGAGAAACTGACTTTGAACTTTGCCAAGTCCTTTGAACACTCTAAGCTGCACCGTCATTTACTGCCACCGTCTAGAACCTCGATTAGCGGCAGGACGACTCGCTCATCCCACAAACTAGACTCTGTGTAGAATTGAAAGATATAGATCTAGTGCGATCCCTTACATGATTCGGATGCTGAATTCCTAACTGACTCTGACAGATTCGTACTGCGTATCCCTGTTTGTTGCCATTTACTTCAGAGTACGCATTATACATATATATTTTACTATTCATAGAATCGTTTACCCTACCTGTAATTTGTGTATACATCTGATATTTTAAACGACCTTTTAACGTATCTTATATTAATAATCAATGACGTATAATGATTTTAACCCTAAACAGTACACCTGGGGTCCGCGCGGACCCCAGCACTATATATTCTGTAATATCTTTTTTGTTTCTGAAGATTTTTTTCTGAAATTTTAGGTAATTGTCACCCACAAAGTTGTCTCTCAATACAGTGCAGAAAACTCCGTTTCTACCATTTATAAAAAAAAATTATATCTGATTTTCTTTTGGGGTCCGCGCGGACCCCAGCCGGCTTTCGATCATAATGGATACACTGGCGTTCTTATACATTACCTTATTTCCGTTTTTATATGTTTTTATGCACTCATCGTATGTCTACCAAGTTTTCAGAGAATGGTGTAGTAATAGAATTAAATTTTAATAACTTTGGTGTAATTATGACGTCATATGACGTTAGGGCTAATAATATAGTCCGCCATATTGGATTTTGACCAATGACGTCATCAAATTAGCATATTCTATGTATATTAAATGATTTAACTTATATTTAATTATGTAAGATGTTATTAATGTTGGAAAAGAAGTGTAATTTAATATAAAACTCGGAAAATTTTAATGTTTAAACCAAAATTACATCTATTTTAAAAAAACTGCCTGTTGCCATGGCAACACAAAAAAAAACATCAACTTACTAGTATCAAACTAATATGAACTTTTTTCCAGAGACATTTTAGGAAAGGTCTCCAAAATTTGATACTTCTAGCGCAAGCCGTTTAGCCGCTATCTGAGATCAAAGTTGGGCCTCAAAAGCCCCTTCAGTCTGAAATGGGTTTAAAAATCGGGTATTTCTTCTTATCTTCTTTTCTTCACCAAAAATAGAAAAAGTTCAAAATGTATGATTTTTGTATGTAATGTGGACACAGAGGTTCCCACATCAGTTTGCAAAACAATTGAGCTGGTAGCATGTTGATGATTTCTAAAAATTAGCAAAAAACTGCTCTGGGGTCCGCGCGGACCCCAGGTGTACAGATTAATCAGTCCGGGAAGGTGTACTGTTGAGGGTTAATGTGTGCTAACTTTTTATTAATTAATCAATTGTGTCATTGTCAGAGCTATTCAGGTTCCATGTACATGGAACCTGCCTTTCTGTACAAGTGATGAATGACGAATAAACCATTATTATAAACGGAAGACAGTCTGTCACTGTCCAGAATTGTGCCCGGAAGTGCTGAAAATCATGGTTACTCACGCCCCAAACACGGAACCTGACAAGGCCCTCGTGTGTGCAGACAGAACTGTGCGGAACCTGAGGCACGGTTCCGGATAAACCGTCCGTTTGCCCCGGCGAATCTCCTTGTAGATTAGGCCACACAAGTAAATTTTATGAATTACGTTCTTTGGAGACCCTATATCTAATGCGAGGTCGAAAAAAACAAGAAGGGCCCTAAAACAAGATGCCTAGATTAGAAATATACTAAGAGACGGCATATGTTTGGACACAAATTGAATGAGGTGACACAGATTAACAAGCAATCATCATCTTAACAGCAATAAGTCAGGTGGAACAGCAGTTGTCGTCCTATCCTGTTTCTTTCACATTTTTGCAGGCCTGCAGAAACAAAGCATGTGCTCTTTACCCATTTCGCGTTACGGGTTTCACGTCAAGCTAACGATTTGTGGCACTGTCGTGACTCTTTGTTCATAGTAACAGGAAGTGGAATTTCTTGTTTATTTTTCTAGGAACAGGCCAAAATCAATGCGCGCGTGGACGTCATCCATAAAATTTCCTTGGTGTGGCCTTAGTTAAAACTAACGATCCGTCCTTTTTACGACATGTCAGGTGGCGCATTGACGGGGCATGTCGGGAAGGTGTTGACAGAAATTTGGAGATAAAGCTATCGCGTGGCAAACACTTGTATGTTGATTTTGGTCAGAAATAGAATATTCTGACAAGAAACACGTTTCTTTCTACCAGAACTGTGCGATTGAGATTAAAAAGTCTCCACCAGCTTTGCAGGCTGAACAAACAGTGGAAATCTAAAAAGGAATGGAACTGGTTAGGGGATATAGCCGGCCATTTTGCCAGGCATTCTTAATTAATCTTGTCTACTTATTAGGCACGTGCTTGGGTTGAAACCCTCTACGTATAGGACAGAGGATTGATTCTGACTTCCGAGCAGTATTGATGTACCACACTGGCTAATGTTTTTCAGATCATATGGGCTATGTTGTCAGTACGGCGATGTGATCACATATTGACATGGGTGCTTACAATATGTTGAGATATGTCAAGATTTTTAAATATGTGACTTTTTATTTGTCAATTTTTAGGGAATATGGAAACAGACAAAAAGCCATCTCTAGAAAAAGATGGCACAAAAAAGGACGAGGGAGCCACGAAGCTGAGCTCAGGTAGTCGACATGCGGTACCCAACATTTATACGCCGGTTCCAAAAGCTGGTAGGAATCCCCGTAAAGTACAGAAAAAGGGGGTGGGAAAAGTCCTTAAAGTCAATCAAAAAGGGCCTGCAGAAGTAAATATTGGGCAAGATGAGCCTTCTTTTTCCCACTTCTACGTATACGATAAACCAGAGGATGTGAAAGGGTTCAAAAAGCTTGATGAAGGAAGCACTGGAAATGACAAAATCTCGTCTCCCCACTACTACGTGTACGACAAACCAGAGATTGTGAAAGGGTACAAAGAGCCTGAGAAAGGAAGCACCCGGAACGGTGAAGAGTCGTCTCCCCACTACTACGTATACCACAAACCAGAGGATGTGGAAGGGTATAAAGAGCCAGAGGAAGGAAGCACTGGGAAAGACGAGGCCTCCTCTCCCCACTACGAGAAACCAGAGGATGTGAAAGGGTACAAGAACCAAGAGAAAGGAAGCACTGGGAACAGTAAAGAATCTTCCTCCCACTACTATGTATACGACAAACCAGAGGATGTGAAAGGGTATAAAGAGACAGACGAAGGAAGCACTGGGAAAAACGAGGCCTCCTCTCCCCACTACGAGAAACCAGAGGATGTGAAAGGGTACAAGAATCAAGAGAAAGGAAGCACTGGGAACAGTAAAGAATCTTCCTCCCACTACTATGTATACGACAAACCAGAGGATGTGGAAGGGTATAAAGTGCCAGAGGAAGGAAGCACTGCGAAAGAAGAGGCCTCCTCACCTCACTACGAGAAACCAGAGGATGTGGAAGGGTACAAGAATCAAGAGAAAGGAAGTACTGGGAACAATAAAAATCCTGCTTCCCACTACTACGTATACGACAAACCAGAGGATGTAGAAGGGGGAAAATTGTCTAAGGAAGAAAGTACGGGACACAAGGAGGAGCCTTGCTCCCATGACTACGACAGGTCAGATGACAAACAGCCCGATGGAGAGAGCTGTGCTTACAAGATAAAAGGTAAGCCAAAAAACACGCGTGATATATGATATAATGATATAATATAACCTAAGTCGAGTTCTTACGTATATGTGGCCTTCACTAATATGTACATGTATTTCTGTCACAGGCCTTATTTATTAATTTCACCAGGAAACTAAAAAGCCCATTGTCGAACTTGACCCTCGTATTTCCAACCAAAATTCACCAATATAAATGATAACGTATTATGAAAACACAATCACAACATCATTTTATCCCGCGAAATCAAACCATAGCAACATCAAAACCATAGCATGTCCACAACACATAAAAAAACGAGTAAACCGATGCAGTACTATACGATACCATACTTAATATCATACCCGGGCCGCGATAACGTTCGATAACAGGTTCCGGACCGGGCCGTACTTTACGGTACGGCCCGGTCCGTAAGCCGTTATCGAACGCTTCCATGGCTTCCATAAAACGATTCGAACGCGTTTCGCCCTACCCGCTTGTGCCCCTTTCGAAAATTCGAATACAGAATCCGAACGTTGGAACTGATGTTGTTGCATTTTAGGGTTTAGTGGCACCAACTTTTGGCTCATCTTGCATTGAAAGGCATGTTTTCTTGGGTGGTTATGACATAAATAAAATACAACACGGTGTATTCCGCATCGCCCTCGGTCCCGGCCCTCCCGCGAGTCGGATCGCCCTACGGCCTGCGGCCGTCCGACCCGCGGTCGGGCCGATTCCTCGGGCGATACGGAATACCCCGTGTTGTATTCTATATATACAAACCCGCTAGACTACTAATGCTGCCTGTAATTGACCTCGACCTCATTTTTGTACGTTTGTGATTTTTGTGTTAGAGCGTGTAAAGGATGTGTGGAAGAAGTTGACATCAACACCTGCACCGTGCTATGGACTCTTGGTGTTTGCGTTAGTTCTTGCCGGCACCATTCTGGCTACTTACCTTGTTCCTGGAAGACAGGTACAAAATGTTTGTTTTGTTTTTATATATAAACCAGCTTAAGGCGTAGAACTCTGGGTAACATCAAATTATTTCCTGGGTTGTTTGGTATTCAAATTTTATCTTTAAGCAAGGCCATCGTGAAAAGGACGAATTTTAAAAATGTTATTTTTATTCAAATAGTGACGACACATTTTTTTTTCTGCCACCACTAACAAAGAGGACAATTGGGCAATACTAAGGAAAGTCATGTAAAGTGCCTTTCCCAAGGACACACGATCAGAGGCATGGCAGGATGAAAATTCGGGACCTTTTGTTTCCGACACGGGCACTCTAAGAAACTATGTGTATGCGAAGGTGCAGACTTAGTTCATGTTAAGCTAAAAAAAACCCTCTTTTATCAGTTAATCATATGCGCGCATGGTTCATCATTATTCATTTTGACCTAAAAACAAACAAATCAAACCAAGGTTGAATTGAGTAAGACTATAATAGTGGTTCTCATGTGTTGAAGATTGAATAAGTCCAACGTGCCTTTTCTAGGGAAACAACAATCTGATCTATTAGGGATTCGATTACAGGAGTATTCAAGTCAACAAAACTCAACTGCATAACGTTTTTTTTTTGTTAATGTGTTGTTGTTAATGTGTTGTTGTTTTCAAAAAATGAGACATAACTGAACGAATTAGCCAAAATCAGTATGTTGTCGAGGTGATGTCAAGATAAAGAAAGCTTTTAGTTCAAAATGGATCTTTTTCCCTCTCTTTCGCAGGTGGTGCATGATTCACACTTAAAGAAAAACATCTCGAAAAATGACGCTTACCCTCTATCAGGAGTTGGATCAACAGAATGGCCATTTTTAAACATCAGTCTGAATGCTGAGACTTTTCCAGTGATCACCGATTTTCTCTCAACCCCATGTAAGTAGTACTGTTATTGTCATTGTTAGCATATGGCCTATCTTTCCTTACATACCAAACTAATTTATCAAATGACATCTCTTATCCGATCCTTGAAGCACAATTTAATGACTTTTTTCTATGGTGGTTTGATTATTGTTTAGAGTTAAAACTTAAGATCAAACACAAAAAGTTGTCTCACCTAGTGCTTTTGACCAGTCACTCTGGTCTTCCTCAGTAGACTGACCCAGTGAGGTTTGTCACGTGAATTCTTGAAAGTGTGACGTCAACACTGGGTCAACCCAGCTCCTGTTCAGACCTAGTGCTAACGGCTACTCCTCAGCCATTTTCCACCACCTACAACACAACCAGGGTCAAACTCCAGTCCACGGATATCTTACCCCGCGAAACACGCTGGTGGGAACGGGGACCCGGTGTTAAATAGGCAATATATGAAAGAATGTACAACCCCACCCTCAACAGGGAGGGGGCTACGGATAGATCTCCGGCAGTTGACCTTGGCACTCTTGTTTGTTTGTTTGTTTATTGGTTATTGGTTCTCATATATTTTACATCAATAAAATGAACATATTACTGACAATAAAATAAAATGCTGGGGAAAGATATGAAGCCATAGTGGGTTGTCTGAGATCTTCCCCGACAAAATTAATTAAGAACTGAAATAATGCTAACAAATCAAATGGTAATAATAAATAACAATAGGTAATTAATAAATTTGATCAATATTATCAATATGATAATGGTAACAAAACAAATAGTAAAAATGAATAACAAAAGTGATTGATAAAAAACGCTGATTAGAAATGATATGTTAAAAACATAGGTTAACAGAACTTTAACTGCAGTACAGACATTGGCAGAATTGAAGCAATAACTCAAGAAAAAATAAATGAATTTTAAAAAGAAATCAAAGTAATAAGATATCAAATGTCGGGCTCTTAGCCCCAAGGACAGAACATACAACTTAAATTAAGGTCCTGTTCTGCACTACAGGAGCTTATTGACTAATTTACATCATCTTGTCTTGACTTGTCTAACTTTTATTTTCTTCTGGACTTCTAAAAAATGTCGTCACTTACTTGCATAGCAATAAATAGCTTAAGATTATAACCCTACAATGCTCCTCTTCTCAGTCACTGACGAAAGCTAGTGGATGCTACCTGAAATGTCTGACCGTTTCCAAAACCATATCTAGTTGCTTGAGTACTTTTGGAGTATTACAGTTCCTCTAGGCCTTTCTAAGTTGTGCTGGCACACAGAAAATACAAGATAAATATTCCTCGCACGAAAAATAATATCTCTGTTTTGTTATAAACTTAACCCTTGTCCTGCTGGCAATTTTTACATAATATTTTCAAATAATTTCATGTCTTAATCAGGTCACAGACCCTTGAGTTTTTTTGGCCCGCGGTGGCGTAGTTACTTCCGCATTCGTTGCGTTTCGCTGCGGTGTGATGCGTTGCACGAGAAACACCCCCAAATCGTACATATACAGGGCACTATATAGATGGTACTGTATGTGCAACCCATATATATATGGGCTCCGCAGGACAAGGGTTAAGGTAATAAACTGTTTCAATTGCTTTCGAAATTTTTGTTATGACACAGATCTGAATGAGTGCGCCAAAAAACCATGCCAGCATGGAACCTGTGAGAACAAAGATGGCGGGTACAACTGTACCTGCTCACCTGGATGGACTGGGCAGGACTGCCAGCTAGGTTGGCTTTTCTATGTATTGTTTTATCAGCTTTTGATATTTTTGAAGCTACGGTGGGGTTGAGTAACTTTTTTCTTTATACCACACAGATATTGACGAGTGTATCAGCAAAACCTGCCAGCATGGACGCTGTGTGAACAAAGATGGCGGATACAAGTGTATCTGTTCACCTGGGTGGACTGGGCAGAACTGTGGACAAGGTGATGTCTTTTTTAGCGGGAAGCTACAAATATTTATGACTATGATAATGAAGCAATGAAATAGGGTAAGCAAAGGAATGAATTACTTAATTTTTGTAATGTTTTTTGAAGGTACAGCTGGGTTAAGGTAACTTTTGTTTTCAAACCACCCAGATATTGATGAGTGTATCAACAAACCTTGCCAGCATGGACGCTGTGTGAACAAAGATGGCGGATACAGCTGTACCTGCTCATCTGGATGGACTGGACAAAACTGTGGACAAGGTGATTTTTTTTAGTTGGAAACTACAGACGTGTATTTATGACCAGTATAATGAAGCAAGAACGATAGGATAAACTAACGAATCAAGCCCTTTATTTTTTAACTACGGCTAAAACCTTTGTCTTCATGGCTTTACTTTGTCTTTGTACCACACAGATATTGACGAGTGTATCAGCAAACCATGCCAAAATGGACGCTGTGTGAACAAAGATGGCGGGTACAGCTGTACCTGCTCACCTGGATGGACTGGGCAGAACTGCCAGCTAGGTTGGCCTTCTCTATTCATCGTTTTATCATCTTTTGATATTTTTGAATTAACATCTGAGGTTAAGTAACTTTTGTCTTCATACCTCGCAGGTATTGACGAGTGTATCAGCAAACCTTGCAAACATGGCCGCTGTGTGAACAAAGATGGCGGATACTACTGTACCTGCTCATCCGGATGGACTGGACAAAACTGTGGACAAGGTGATGTATTTTTAGTTGGAAACTACAGACGTATATTTATGACCATTATAATGAAGCACGAACGATCGTATAGGCTAAGGAATAAATCCCTTTTTTGTATCTACAGCTACAACTTTTGTCTTTAAGACTTACTTTACTTCGTCTTTATACCACCCAGATATTGACGAGTGTATCAGCAAACCATGCCAAAATGGACGCTGTGTAAACAAAGATGGCGGGTACAGCTGTACCTGCTCACCTGGATGGACTGGGCAGGACTGCCAGCGAGGTTGGCCTTTTCTATTCATTGTGTATCAGCTTTTAATATTTTTTGACGCTACAGTTGTGGTTAGGTAACTTTTCTTTTCATACCACACAGATATTGACGAGTGTATCAGCAAAACCTGCCAGCATGGACGCTGTGTAAACAAAGATGGCGGGTATAGCTGTACCTGCTCACCTGGATGGACTGGCCAGAACTGTGGACAAGGTGATGTCCTTTTAGTTAAAAACTACAGACGTATATTTAAGACCATTATGATAAAGCAAGAACGATAGGATAAGCTAAGGACTAAATCCCTTTTTTCTTTTAATTATGGCTACAACTTTTGTCTCCATGACTTACTTTACTTTGTCTTTATACCACCCAGATATTGATGAGTGTATCAGCAAACCTTGCCAGCATGGACGCTGTGTGAACAAAGATGGCGGGTACAGCTGTGCCTGCTCACCTGGATGGACTGGCCAGAACTGTGGACAAGGTGATGTATCTTTTGTTGGAAACTACAGACGTATATTTATGACCATTATAATGAAGCAAGAACGATAGGATGAGCTAGGGAATGAATTACTTCATTTTTGTAACTACAGCTACAGCTTCTGTCTTCAAGACTTACTTGACATTGTCTTCATACCACACAGATATTGACGAGTGTATCAGCAAACCTTGCCAACATGGACGCTGTGTAAACAAAGATGGCGGATACAGCTGTACCTGCTCACCTGGATGGACTGGACAAAACTGTGGACAAGGTTAGTTTTCATAAGTTAGTTTCTTGCACTATATTTTAACACCTGTCCCGTTCGTATTTTTACACAATATTTGTCAATACTTTCATATCTAAAAAAGGTCATATAGCTTAATTTTTTACCCCACAGTGGCCTAGTTGCTGCCGCAATCGTTGTGTTTCCCTGCGGTGTAATTGTTGCATAAAATACCACCAAATCTTATTTTTTTATACAGTGCACTATATGGACGGTACTGTGTGTGCAATCTACAGATGTATTTGGGCTTCGCAGGATAGGGCAAGAGTTTTAAACATAATTCCATAGACTTGAAAATCACGACCGTCGATTTTAAAGTCATTTAACCCTAAACAGTACATGGGGTCCGCGGACCCCAACACTATATATTCTGTAGTATCTTTTTGTTTCTAAAGATTTTTTCCTGAAATTTTAGGTAATTGTCACCCACAAAGTTGTCTCTCAATACAGTGCAGAAAACTCCGTTTCTACCATTTATAAAAAGAATTATATCTGATTTTCTTTTGGGGTCCGCGCGGACCCCAGCCGGCTTTCGATAATAATGGATACACTGGCGTTCTTATACATTACCTTATTTCCGTTTTTATATGTTTTTATGCACTCATCGTATGTCTAACAAGTTTTCAGAGAATGGCGTAGTAAAAGAATTAAATTTTAATAACTTTGATGTAGTTATGACGTCATATGACGTCAGGGCTAATAATATAGTCCGCCATATTGGATTTTTGACCAATGACGTTATCAAATTAGCATATTCTATTCATATTAAATGATTTAACTTATATATAATTATGTAATATGTTATTAATGTTGGAAAAGAAGTGTAATTTAATATAAAACTCATAAAATTTTATGTTTAAACCAAAATTACTTCTATTTTTAAAAACAACTGCCTGCTAGAAACCCGTTGCCATGGCAACACAAAAAAACATCAACTTACTAGTATTAAATTAATATGAACTTTTTTCCTGGGACATTTTAGGACAGGTCTCCAAATTGGATACTTCTAGCGCAAGCCGTTTAGCCGCTATCTGAGATCAAAGTTGGGCCTCAAAAGCCCCTTCAGTCTGAAATGGGTTTAAAAATCGGGTATTTCTTCTTGTCTTCTTTTCTTCACCAAAAAATAGAAAAAGTTCAAAATGTATGATTTTTGTATGTAATGTGGACACAGAGGTTCTCACATCAGTTTGCAAAACAATTGAGCTTTTAGCATGTTGATAATTTCTGAAAATTAGCAAAAAACTGTTCTGGGGTCCGCGCGGACCCCAGGTGTACAGATTAATCAGTCCGGGAAGGTGTTCTGTTGAGGGTTAAATACACATTACGAATAAACAACAAAAAGCTCGAAGTAAAACAAGAAAAATACAAGAAAAAGATGAATGGATATTTCTCGTTTTCTTTTTACATGAGCTGTATATAGGTGGGTAATCTTGTGTTCTTTCTACTTCATAGATATTGACGAGTGCACAAAAAACCCTTGCCTGCATGGACGCTGTGTAAACAAAGATCGCGGATTCAAATGTAACTGTTCACCTGGATGGACTGGACTAAACTGTGGACAAAGTGAGATCTTGTCTGTGTGTATAGAATAAGGAAAGCATTGGATTACTTTGATTGCAATAAGTTTTTAGTACAATATTTTATTTAGTGGGGATTTCTTGTTAACTATTTTACCTGGAGGTTGTAGAGATGATATTGCAATTAATATTACTGCCTTAAAATGTAATTTTCCATGTCAGAAATACATCGGGATCAGTGCGCCAGGAAACCATGTCAGCATGGCCGCTGTGCGAACAAAGATAGCGGGTACAAATGTACCTGCTCACCTGGATGGACTGGGCAGAACTGTCAGCAAGGTAAGTTATTTTTGTTCTATGATTTGCCAAATGGAAACTTGATTTTGGATAAATTCTGAATCCAAGATTCCCAAAAGTCACAGCAATACTTTTCCAAATACTGAAACGTTTTCGCTGTTGTGCCACAGACATAAACGAATGTACCAGCAAACCCTGCAAACATGGAGTCTGTATCAACACAAATGGTGGATTTAATTGCGACTGTACCCGCGGATGGACTGGGAAGAATTGTCAGCAAGGTACGATTTATGAAGCCAGTCAAATAATAAATTAAAGTCCTGGAAAACATGGCAGCCAGTTTAAAACCTGACACCACGGCTTGTAAAAACGTTCTTTTGAAAAACAAACAATACATAATTACTGTGACCTACTGAATTACAGGTTATTAATGTTTGCTTTACATGCTTCTCAGAAGAACGTAGTTTTGGTCATCATATTAGTTTGAAATACTTTTTACGCAATGAATTTGGACCAATTAATAAAATATTTTATTGATGGCTCTTGTTTCATTTGTTTGACTTTCCGTATATTTGGTGTTGCAGTTAAGAGGCCAATATTTAAGTAACATTTCTTTTTATATCACATAGATGTTAACGAATGCTTCAGGCACCCGTGTCGCTATGGGCGGTGTGAGAACAACGATGGTGGATACAAATGCACCTGCTTGCCTGGATAGACTGGACGGAACTGTCAGCAAGGTGGTAGTATAAAACAATTTAGAATTCTTCCATTATATCCCAAAATAATGCAGATACTAATTTGGTTTACATCATTCAATATATATGCCCCAGCGGTATAACAATAACTTTACTTGTAGATATTAATTGATTAAGAATGAGCAACATTATGTTATAGAATGTAAATTGTACATGAGCAATATGTTCCCCTACTTCATACATCTAAGCAGTACAGACAAATTTATATGATTTCCAACGAAAATACAGACAAAACTTTGATTATAAAATTTATCTGTAATTACATTTTACCTACTAAGAAGCAAGTTTTACATGATAATTATATAAATGTATGTAACGTTATGTATATACAATTTGTTTGTTATGACTTGTATGATTTGTTATGATTTGTTATGATTTGTTATGATTTGTTATGATTTGTTATGATTTGTTATGATTTGTTTGTTATGACCCAGTTGGTATATGTGTTTAATAATAATCATAATTTATTAATTAATTAATTCATCCATTCTTTAAAATCTATAACATTTTATTCCTGTATTATTTACCAGGTGACAAGACAACATTAAGAAGGCTTTGATAACATTTTGTGTTCATGTCATTTATATACCCAGAGCTAACATGGTACCACAAGGGTGGTTTTCAATGTTTAATGTTGGAAGTTGTTATAATCATATCTGTTGAGGCCTTATATCAAATTGAAGTATCATTTGTTGCAGCTAAAAAATGCAAAAGTGGGTGGAGTGAACATGGCAAACACTGCTTCAAACTGATGACAGACATGGTCAGCTGGTCTAACGCCAACTCGAACTGCAAGAACCAAGGTGCAAACCTGGCTTCTATCAACAGTGCCAGTGAGAACCAATATATCAGCAGTCTCATCACTAATGGTGGGTAATCAGTGTCAGTTAAACCATACCTATTTATCAACCCGAGTAGTTCTATTGCATTAAAAACCATACCTATTTAGTAGTCCTATCCCTGAATGGGTTGGGGTAAGAGACAAGCTTGGCAGTACACAGCCTCTACGTGTCCAAGAACGTAGATTTGTCCTAGTCACTGATGGCAGTCTGGGCGGCATTTTTGTCGCTTTGATTCTTGTTTCAACGTTTAAGGTCTCTATCTTAAAATTACTTTTGGCCCGTCTTGTTATTTTTTTCTCATGGGAATTGTGATCTACCTAAGACATTCTCTCAAAATGTACTCGCTGTGGCTTTAGGTTGTGACCTTTAGCATCAGTACAACTTTTTACAAATTTGTATAATTATTTGTTTTGCATAGACGTTTTATTAGTTTTCCAACAGCATCAACATAGAGGTATGGACGAATGGGAACAAGCAATGATAGACCAAGATAGGTAGAAATGGACATCAGGTAATTAGGATATATCAGGATGGGTAAGGATATTTAGGAACAAGTTAGGATGTATCAGGATGGGTAAGGATAGTTAGGAACAAGTAAGGACTGGCCAGGATGGGTAAGAATGACCAGGAACAAGTTCGGATGTATCGGGATGGGTAAGGATAGATAGGAACAAGTTAGAATGAGCCAGGATGGGTGAGAATGGCCAGAAAAACATTAGGATGTATCAGAATGGGTAAAGATAGACAGGAACAAGTTAGGATGAGCTAGGATGGGTGAGAATGTCCAGGAACAGATCAGGATGTATCAGGATGGGTAAGGATAGATAGGAACAAGTTAGGATGGGCCAGTATGAATTTGAATAACCAACAACAAGTCAGGAGGTCTCAGGATCTGTAAGGATGGATAGAAACTGTATGGCTAACCATCATCCCAATTATTTTTTTCTTAATGATATGCAGCACCCTGCAAAGGAAAATTCCCCATGGTCTGGATTGGTCTCCAGGTCAAACATAAACGCAGAAAGATTCTGACGTGGTCGGATGGATCGAGCGTTGTCTACAAAAACTGGGTGCCTGGTGAGCCCAACAACAATAAACATTACTCTAAACGCAAGGGAGAAGGGTGCGCTGGAGTGTACTTTAAGGTATGTGATACTGTTTCTTACTTGTATTCCGTAGGTTCGACCTATTTTTGTACAATAATAGGCTCATCCATATGAAGCAATAATTCAGTGCATGTTGCTGCGATGCAACAAAATCCTTATTTCACTGCTTCTCAGTCAGAATTTGGGTCTTTTGAAAAGTATGGCTCTTTTTGTTGTGTTCCCTTTGCCCAAGTTAACTGAAATTAGGCAAGACTGTGCGGAGTGATCTACTCTTTTGTCCTATAGAGCGGCTCTTAGGCATTTTCATTATGGAGGAGCCAATTGATGCGCAGAAAGAACAGTTTATTAAAAAGCTTTTTTGGCTGTAGCCTTGATATTAAATCCTTAACACTATCTGTTGAAGTTTAGCGTTATTCCTCTGAGTTTTACGGAACAAACTATTTCCGTCGGTGTTAGCCTCAAAATCACATAAATGACACAATTATGTCGTTATGTGAATGACATCATAACGACTATAAGTTTGTTGTTATGATTTAAGGTCATTACTGCATTATTCTCTGCAAATTTGGTGGCCCTTCCATCAGTGGTTGTTGTGTTACAGCGGTTGCGCCTCAAAAGCCCCCCCCCCCCATGCACCATAGAACCATAATTTTGTACAATGATTAAAAAGACTCTTTTTTACTGACAATATATGTTATAATAGTTGGCACTATTTGGCATTAAACGTAGCTTAATATAGGTATTTTTGTTGCTTAACAGGTCTTTGATGTCGAAATTTAAAATTGTAAAAATTTTTCCCGCCCACCTTGTTTTGAGCCAGTGGAGAATGTCATACATAAAATTTACTGACTTCGTCCTTACAGCGTTACTTCTTTTATCTTACAGACCGGCAAAAACTCTTTCTGGGGCAAGCGCAGGAAAAAAGGGCAATGGAACGACTATAATTGTAATCAGGGCAACTTTCCCTACATCTGCAAGAGTCTAAAAGAATAACAACTGGACTGCTTGCTCCTGACATGAAAACGAGCAACGACATTAAATTAGAACAAGAAAGAATTAATAAACTAGTAATGGAAGCCACGCTGCTAAGACAGCAAAACCGTCGGAAGACAAGGCCACGCTAAATTGTTCCCATTCAAAATTAATGGACAGTAATACAATCACCTAGCACCAAACTGTCCATCATTGCCTTCTTCGCTAAGTCCTCGGTTATTATATTATACGAGGTTCTTATACCAAATTTTATACATGCCTTGTTTTCACAATGGAGTAGAGGTAAATGGTTAAGTGTTTTGGAATTCTGTACCTGTTTGTTTCATGAATTGAAATGTGCAAATATGTAACAAGTAATTCAGGTAATCTAAGGTGAGTAACCATTGTCTGAACATGAAATGAATCTGATGTAAATATCTGTTGACGGTACCTTGCAAAATCATTTTCTAGACGTCAAACACAACAACAAAAGGGAAGAGAACTTGGATCTACACTTGCATATATGCATTAAATCAACAGTGGCGATTTACAAATTACAAAATATGCTAAATTTATCTTGCATTCCAGTAAAACAAAACAAAAATGAAAACAGAAAAACCCTTATATATCAAATATAGAATTATAGACTTTTTTAGACCTCTGTATATACTACTAAAAGGTCTTTCTTTGTAAAAGTTTTTTTTCTTTTGGCAATAAGGCAATGTTATCTATATTATATGGATGACATCCGCGCAGGCATGGATTTTCGGCCGTTTCCAAAAAAAAAGTTTTCAACCTTTCTGTAAGTCGTAGAAAACAGTTGCAAAATTAACAAATCTATATCGTAATTTGCAAAAAAAAATAATGGAAAATGATATCAATGTTGTAGAATGCCAAAATGTAACGAAAAAGACGAGTTTCAAGAGTAGATTATTCGCAATAGTAAAAATGATTAAACTTATAAGCTATAATTATGTTCTCATAGGTGTAGCAGTGGCCAAGTAAATGGTAACCCTCAAACCACCGTTGGGGTCAAAACTAACCCCAGGTGTATATAAACATGTGCCATTTTGACTTTTCTTGTCGAAAACGAAATGAGTTTGTATATATGCCGTATAACTTCTTATACGTTTTTACGGAGACTGGAATACTGTTGATTGAATTATCCTAGAAAGTTTTTGTGTTGTCAAGTGTGGTCAAAACCGTCCCTAACCTTTTTAGCCGGTGTTTTAGCATATCTGAGTCTTTTGTTGTGGTCATTTTTTTTCGCGGTAGTATGTTTGCTTGAGTTTTCTGCTGCCATATCTTCAACATGTTGACTCAGAAAACTTTACAAAATCATTACCCTTAACCTAGTTACCGATGGGCTTGGGGTCAAAGTCCATAAATCATAGGTGCCCAAATTAAGATAATGAGCAGAAATTATTAGCACCTAATTATGTCAAATTGTCCCTAATACCTAAATGAAAAATAGTGTCACAAAAATTATAGCCATATTTGTGCAAAACATAATAGGGTCAAGCTTTGACCCCATACGGTAAGATTCGTTGTAAAAAGCTACAGTGGTTTGAGGGTTGAGATGGCAACCATTTTAATGTTGTTGTTTTTTTTTTATTGATGACATATTAGTTTGAAACTTAACTTAGAAAGTAATACAGGAAACTCAATAATGCTAACGGTAGTTTGTATTCAGGGTTCGTCCCTTGATAAAATCGTACTGTTTGGGGCGGACAACCAACCGTTTTTTTTTTAAATTTCATTTCGTAGAAAAACTCGATGACATTTACTTATTTCATCTTATAAACACCTGGGTGGCCTCTTCAACAATGAATTGTCGATTTCCAACAGGGCACAGGGACACATTAATATAAAGCAGATTGTATAAGATTAAATCATAATTGAGAAAAGCTAACCGAGATCAGTATAACTGAAAATCAGTATAACTAAAAAGTTACCAAAACATATATAAATGGCTTAACAGAAATATACAAACCAAAATGTCAAAATCATAATCATGATCCATAATCGACATTTTTAGGTCATCAAATGTGTCACAGGATGTAGGTAAAGCTATTTGAATTTTGCCTCTCAAAATGACACTTTTGCTACTAACTTTCGATACACACATTCTATTCTATCAAAGTAAGAATATTAAAAATAGAGTTGGATTCATTGCTATTTCTATTTAGAGAAATAAGTTACGATGTTAATAATAACAGTAAAATTATTGCAATCATGTTAATATACTGACTGACTCCATTATAAATACAAACGACCGTTCGACGAAATCATACATTTGCCAAGTTAATGGTATCTGTACCTGATGAAAATCACGTAATTTACATAACATTGCTTAAAGTGCTCACCTCTGCAAAACGTGCATATGTGCAAATATCCAATCACCATTATTTTATAACTTTGCACCGTTAACCCCTTAAACACCCGAACTTTTTTTTGTGACGATAATGCCCGAACGGGGTCCAAATGGACCCCATTTGGTTTCTTTCAATTTTATATTCCTTTTGGCATTCTTTCAGTGACCTTTGCACATATATTGGTTAAACATATTAAGACGTTTATTTTGGCATGATTAAGTGTTAAAAAATTCCCGCTCATTATCATAATTTATGCAAAATACATGGGGTTGACCTTTGACCTCATATGATTGTCAAATTGTCAAACCTCTGAAAACCTGATAACCTAATTCCTGAGTTGGAGGTTACTTGGCAAACTGCATAATATCAGAGCAATAATGCTTCCTTGAAGACATATTGAGGACATCCGAACAATTTCGTGTGTAGGAAAGTACAAATACATGGCTGGGGTTCATTTTGACCCCAGAGGGTCTTACATCAGACTTCAGTTGTTATTTTTACAAATTTGTGCCGATCTCCAAAAAAAATTAGGAGAAATTGTAAAAGAGGTGTACTGACAAAGTCACGGGCTAATTTTTTTAAGAATAGAAAAAAATTCAAATAGCACATAAAAATATACGTCTGGGGTCCAAATGGACCCCGTATGGGTGTTTGAGGGTTAAAATGCAAGGGTATCTTATCTTGAAAGTTTAAATGTGTTGGTAGAAGTGATTTTGGATCAGTGTAAACGGTATTTTCTAACAATTAGACTTACCTAAATTTCCACTGTACAACTCCAGGCCTTGGTAAGTAAGAGCATTCCGCCGTATCCACGACATCATGTAATGCAGACGACAAACTTGACAGTTTATCATCATGATATGTATATATTCATTATTTGCTGTTTCAACTATATAAAAGTTTGAGAAATGTCAACATTTTATCCAGTCAAGATTGTAGACGTATTTTAAATTATCATTTACTTGATTGACGTCCGAATATTTTAGATTTCTCTTTTAGGACTTGACGTAAAGTGAGTAAAGTTAAGTTTTTGATTTTGACTTCAGTATATGTAATACACCTATAAAGGATAAACATAAATTCTGGTTAATTTATGTCTAATCTTTATGTTTTATTACCTATAATTATATATGTGATGTTGAAATGTTCCGAGTGATGTTCCGACTTTGTTAACATTAATACTTTTATATGTCGGAAACACTGGTTGAATAAAACATATGGCGAGTAGAAACTTATAACGGTGTTAGAAAAGTCATTGTTTCCAGGTGGAAAGAGTCGGTTCAGTACCATTCAGTTATCATTGCAATAAAACTAATAGATTCAGAAACTAATTCAGGAGCAAAGTTGATTGGAAAATCCGACTTTGTGGCAATTGAAAGTGTCAAACAAAATCCAAACTAGAGTTTTGCAACACAATAAAACATAACAAAATTATGTTTACCTTTATGATTTTGCTATTAATTAGATGATATTAGATTAACTTAGAATTTGCATATATGTATATATGTATCTATGTATCTATGTGTATATATATTTATATATATATATCGCCCAACTAGCTGGAGGCTATGATCATGGGCTAGCCATCACGACAAGAACATCAACAACTCGGATCTACATGTACAGGTAACAGTTGACGCTTCAGATAAACAAACTTTTGCATAACAGGTGTTGGGGTCTAACGTCAACTAGCTATGCAATCTGGCCTAGTCGTTTTGCGTTTTAATTCCAACATTTTCAACCAAACGCCCCTGCAATTTCTTAACAAAATTTTAGGGAGCTCTTACGTCACTTTCCCTGAACGCAAGACCTAAATACTATTAAAGATCATGATTATATCCTAAAATGTAAACAGGGGCTGCATACTCATAAGTTGTTTTACTAGCTCAAATTAATAAAGTACTAAAAAGAGATTGCATACCTTGTTAACGTTAGGCCGCATCATTTGTTTTGTAATAGTATGTCTATCTAAAGTGGAACCGACACATTCGAAATGGCACATGTATTTCAGAACAGCAAACCGTTTTGCAATAGCTCCTTTTTTGGGGATTGTACGTGTTGGAACTTTTAAGGTGACGCTATAGTAAAAAATTAATAATTGTGTTAGAGTAAGGGTTTGGGTTAGGGTTTGGGTAACCGAAAGTCCCAGAAAGAATACTTATGTTATCATTAAAAAAGGGTAAAAAGTTAATCATAATATGGTTACAGTTTGGGCTAGGGTTAGGGTGACCAAAAGTCCTAGAATGGAAAGATTTGGTATCGTTAGAAAGGTTAAAACACAAGTATTCCAGAACATCAAACCGTTTTGGAATATCGTCTTTAGTTTTGGAATTGTACGTGTATGAAATTTTAGGTGACGCTATGGTAAAAAGTTAATAATCATATTATGGTTACAGTTTGGGCTAGGGTTAGGGTGACCAAAAGTCCCAGGTTGAAAAAAAATTGGTATCGTTGGAAAGAGTATTACTCAAGTATTCCAGAACAGCAAACCGTTTTGGAATATCGTCTTTAGTTTTATCATTGTATATGTTTCAAATTTTTAGGTGACGCAATGGTAAAAAGTTAATAATCATATTATGGTTACAGTTTGGGCTAGGGTTAGGGTGACCAAAAGTCCCAGGTTGAAAAAAAATGGTATCGTTGGAAAGAGTATTACACAAGTATTGCAGAACATCAAACCATTTTGGAATATCGTCTTTTGTTTTGGAATTGTATATGTTTGAAATTTTTAGGTGACGCTATGGTAAAAATTAATAATCATATTATGGTTACAGTTTGGGCTAGGGTTAGGGTGACCAAAAGTCCCAGGATGTGAAAGTTTGGTATCGTTAGAAAGGGTATGACACAAGTATTCTAGAACAGCAAACCGTTCTGGAATATCGTCTTTAGTTTTGGAATTGAACGTGTTTAAAGTATTCAGGTGACGCTATGGTAAAAAGTTAATAATTATATTATGGTTACAGTTTGGGCTAGGGTTAGGGTAACCAAAAGTCCCAAGATTTAAAAGTTTAGTATCGTTAGAAAGGGTATGACACAATGACACAAGTATTTCAGAACAGCAAACCGTTTTGGAATATCGTCTTTAGTTTTGGAATTGTACGTGTTTGAACTCTTAAGGTGACGCAATGGTAAAACGTTAATAATCATATTATGGTTACAGTTTGGGCTAGGGTTAGGGTGACCAAAAGTCTCAGGATGTAAAAGTTTGATATCGTTGGAAAGGGTATGACAC